ATATGTACAGCTGAGCCGTTCGAGCATCCACCGCTGGCAAATCTCCCTGGTCCTCCGTCTCAGGAGCCTCGCTGTACTTGCATCTATCCGCAACCCGCCAAATTCATCAACCATGAATGTTGTCCGTACGACCTCAGCTTTCGATTTTGCATCGGAATAGACGCACAAACAAAGGATAATTTTAGGTGATTTCAGCAAACCGAAGATGCACTGGCCATCCCAGACTTTCTTGTCTATACACAGAGCCTTCATTTATTCAGTCAGAGTTGGTTAGACACAGTGGGTTACTATACCAACTAGGTTGACGAACACATTAGATGTGATGTTTATATTGGGTATGGCCAACGTACAGAGAGACGCTTCAGAGAACATCCCTGGTAGTGACGGCAACATGATACTCTTAACCTTTACTGTTAAAATGGCCACCAAACAAGTACCTCCTTCCTATTACACAAGCCTCAGTATTAACTGGCAACCCGTCCGTCAAATAATCCGGTCCTACGATTGAGATGCCTTGTTTCTCACCAATGTAAGCACAGCCTTGGAGCACTTCTATTATCAGTTTCAGCAAGCCGTAACCCTCGTTGCTGAACAAGAAAAACGAATCAGAGACGTTTAAAGGGAAGCAGACGAACGTTCGATGAGTCAGAAATCCAGCAAACCGTCTCAGCTCTGAGATCAAGCACTTACAGTTGATGGGGAGAACATATGAAGACCAAGCAACCCTACGAATGACCTATAAAGCAAAAGAGCTGGTCTAACTTCTCCGTCGAAGAACCAATAAACGCTTTTCCTTGATCACTAAATGGTGGACGACATCCAGGTGCATTTAGCTCTTTCTTCACATACATGACCCTTGACACTAACGCTATAATTATGCTAAGGCTCCATCTAGAGTGATATCGCTCTCCGCAATATCCGCCAAACAACACATTCTGTGTAATCGTGCCCAATTCTGGAAGCTGATGGCATCCCCCTATCCGCCATGAGACTGGGTGAGTCTGATATGTCACTGCTCCTTTTGTATATGTTTGTCGTTTCACTGGGATCCAAGTAATCTGCATATCAATGGAACACTTCATTCGTCAGCCCTCGCCGCAAGGGCTGTGCGAAACAGGAGATGGACAATATCAGGCGAAGCCAAATCACTCTTATAATAGCAGGATTATTCGTGAACTTAGTAAAAAAGGGTGAGGAAGTTCATCAACTCACTGGAGTTGATAGACAGGTCCTAAAATGGTTTCTCTGACTGACGATCGTACAGATTCTGGTAGCTGCATTACCTGAACTACATACCGGACTCCATTGACTCAAAGTATGCCATATTACTTCTATGGTTGCACATGCAGAAAACATTCGATTGGGTGCCTCACAAACGGTTATCAAATCAGCAAGATTTCTTTGAAGTCCGCAACACATTAATGGGTTGGTTATCATCACACATGAACGGTCCCACTAAAATAGTCGCCTTAGACGTCTATCGCTCTTCTCCGCGTCCAATTACCAGCGGGATTAAACAAGGATATTCGCTCGGTACATTAATTTCCCTTCTTTGTGTCAATGATAGCAGTTCAGTTAACAAACATGGCGTGCCGTAGTTATTTGTCAATGATATAACATTTGTCCACAAGTACCGAGGAGTTGAGCTTCGGAATGTACTACCACTCATTCAAGACGACATTCATTCGCTTGAGAGTTGGTGCGACAGGTGGATGATGACGTTCTAAGCACAACAGTCAAGTATCATTTGTTGTGGTTGTTTGACACCCGAAGTATCCATCACACGTAACAGCGAACGCATCTGTGTACAACGGTCTACTCGTGACCTCTGAATCATATATTCTCGTACCTACAACTTTTCTGAACAGCGTGAGTACCAGATAGCACGAGTCAGACAATCCATAACATAACATGCACACAATCTCTCATAACATGCATGCAATCACAGATACAGTTGAACTATGTAAAATCCTTACTCGTCCCACCCTGAAATATCGCAGCATAATCTGAGGCAGTATGAGAAAATCAGACAGAACATGGATAGAAATCCTTCAACGGTCGTTTACCAAGCATGTATTTGGGAAAAATTCTATCCTAAACTCTCGGGAGCGATGGCAGCAACTCCATCTCCATCCGCTTTGGCTGCGAAGAATAAAAGATAACGAGACTGTAGCACAATCTGATACATGGCAATGTCCATTGCAATCGATTCATCCTTAACATTGCAGCACAATTACTCGCGAGACCTAGGTAACAAAGACCTTACCCTGATTATACCACGAGGTAAGACAAATTTGCGGTCTAACTTTCGTTTCACCATATATGCTTCGCTGTGAAATCAGTTGCCATTCACCATCAGGTCGTGTGAGACTGTGTAATCCTTTCGCAGTAAGTTGGAAAGCTACCTCTACTTAAACACCATTATGTCGCTTTCTTCGTGGGGAAAGTCATTTGAACATGCATCAATGAAAGCCCAGATAATGTCTAATGGGTGTGATATCACCAATTAACGCAATGTAATTAGTCCTCAGTGTCTACAACATACACAACCTGCAAATTTGCCTCCTACCATCGCATAAGACAAACATAGGGAGCAAATACTTGCCAGAAATGCAAACCAAGATAAGAGGATAACGTGATATTGCTCTTGCAAGTGCATGACATTACCTGTGCGTGTATGTTCCGTGCCAAATATTGCCACAGCTTTGCACTTGATGAGAAACATGCCCATTATTCCTATTCTCTTATTATTCTTATTCTCATTATCTTCCTGCGGTATATTATTTCGACCAGAGGCAACACTATCCTGGAGCATAAATGTGCCACATGTATTGTGCACCTTAGACCGAGCACAAATTGTGCGCTCGATACGTTTCGGCTGCTAGGAGAACGTTGGAGATTTCGCACAGGGACAGCGGCTACCGTCGGGGTCAGAATACGAACCAATGGTAACTCTTTCCGACGAAAGATCTGTTAAAGTGGTGCTGACGGAGAACATGCAAATATCTCATCCTAAGTTGACCAGCTACAGTCAGGAGTACTGTTGGTGACCCCTAGCACTGACACTCTCATCCCTGTCTGCCTTTCGTTAACAGCAATGTGTCAACCTACTCGGGTGCATACCTGTCCCCCCATAGACGCATACATCTAGCCCTGTGCATACATCCAGGGAGTCTCAATGGTTAATGGCCAATGACCAATGAGTGTCACTGATAGTGCGTGCATGTAACCCCTCAGGGAGAGAATAAATTTATGCCCGTGTGAACTTGGACACACAACACGTTATTTTGATTTTTGTAACACACTAACTTATTAGCACTGTGCGTGAAGTTGCCTGTATAAAGGTACAGTTAATGGTTTGGGAACTACACACTATGCACACATGCATTGGACTCACGAGACGACGTGACAGGGAGACCAGGGATAAGGACGTATGAACACCAAATTTACCCGAGGTCCACCCACACAGATGCTCCTCAGCCCGCATGCAGACACTGAACCGAACTGACCCAAACTAACCACAATGTTTCGGTGAAGTAGACGGGCAGCGAGTATAACGACTGGTCCCGCCCACGCCACCTCCCCAAAAGTTGGCGGGATCAGAAAACAATGCTAGTTGTAATACGACTCCAATGAAATCCGCATTGGTCTTGGGCTAAATTCCATTCCAGCACGTAAGCAGCGAAGGGTTGACTGAGGCTATGGGGTTACTAAATCTTTTTCATAACGGATCGGATCACCAGCAAAATGATTAACGCGGGCCGCATAATCATATGGTGCAATAACAATAAGCCACAACGAAAACGGTGAGAAAAAGACAAAGCATACGCGACACCGGGCATCCACTTTTCCTTTGTTAGGAGGCATAATGATGATTGAATTAAAGGGGATCTGAACAAGAAAAAGTTATGGCATTAAAATCAAATAAAGATCCTACTGATACACCAAGAAAACAGAGGGACACGGGTAATTGGTGGATCTAAGGTTCACCGATGGCGCATGTATGGCTCATTGATATCTTAGGTAATTGGAAATCCAAAATCCCATTGTGTCTACCAATTCGTGTGTGACTGCGGTATCAGTTACATCGGCAGGACCGAACGGGTTTTAGATTCCTGAGTGAAGGAACACCTACCAAACTGGGTTCAGCGTGAAGCTACCCAATCCACCTCCGATGATACGTGTTCGCGTAAGCCACCAGCGTCCTCCATAGGCAGGCACGTCTTGGCGACTCGTCACCAGGTTAATCCCTTATCAGCTTTCCGGATCTTGTTACGTCATACTAATGCACGCCTTTTACGATTTGCCGAGGCCGTCGCGATAAGCCGAATTAGACCAGCTTTGTGTGTCCAAAAGCAATTAGTTGTCAACCTGCGGTTGCCGTGGACCTAATCTGATAACAAGGATAACAACGATAACAACAGTAAATTTGATTGGTTTGACTGTGCCCTGTAAGACATATAAAAGGATTTCCCTGTTATTGTATTGGTACTGACGAGATAATACGAAATGCTAGCATCTGCCAATACTCGTCTTCTCATTTCGTTGTTCAAACTACTGAAGGGGACTAACTGTTTTAAGTTAAATTGGAAATGTAACGGAGGACAGCAAGGACTACCGTAGCTCAGTGGTCTCAACCGCGAGTTGGCAACAGTCGAGTTGCGAGTTCAAGCCCTACGAAGGTCCGATGGAGTGCGCACTGCTGACGATTCCCAAAAAGGATGAAACGCGCGTACAGTGCTTTTCCGGGCGCAAGACGGCTGTCTGAGTGAGTCTAGATGTGACGAATTTCTACCTATACCATTTTGATTTTTTGTAACCCGCTAACTTATTAGTACTAGGTGTGAAGTTACCTGTAAAATGGTATAGATGCAGGGATCACCATGGTAATATCTAAGGTTTGTTGCAGTGATTTCGTCTACGGATAATGTTAACTAACGAGTATGGGTATGCAATAAAGAAACCACAATGGAACAGGCCCAGAGTGACTAACCACTTACTAATAGCATGTTGACGTGTGCCAAAAATATATCGCCGACGCGGTGAGTTGGGGGCTGGCGTCCTCCCACAGAAGACATTTCGGAACTAACGGAAGATTCTCCAGTTGCATGACGTGGAACGGTTCCACCTTCACTATTTCCAACTCCGTTCCAAGCGACTAGACGTGCTTCAAAACTAGCCAGTACCTTCTGGTGTTCCGAGTAAATAGGATCGAGTAGATTAAATAAATTGTTGGCCAGGTCATCGGGAAGACGTACATTCGTCCTATTAGTGGGAGGATCCTCATCAAGCCATGTTACTGTGTGACGAAAACACTGAAAATGTAAAAAGGATAAAATAGGTCACGCTAGCTGTGTATATGAGAAATAGATAAGTTGAAAGCTCAAAGGGAGTAATTAATACCGGGGTGAACTCAGAAGAACTCCTGGTATCGCACGTGACTTTTGTACGTCCATGTAAAGTGGACTAGGTGGATACTTATTTGGAAGCGAAGAGTCGTTGGCATACCTTCATCTATTAACCGAGGTTGCAACAGCAGAACTCTCAAGTTACTCCAGAAAGAACGTGGCTGTGCTTCGTAACTGGACGAGAAATAAATACCAAATTAAATGATGGAGTGCAAAGCATTTTGTAGTTCTAGGACAAATGAATTGGACAATCAGCTCTTCCACGACAGACAAATCCGTTAATAGTCGTTCACGAGCGCTACGCCCCATGAGACATATAGACCTCCAAATTGTGCGTTGTATGAATATTTAGAATTGAGTAAGAAAATTTTCAGGCTGTGTATTACGAATTGCTACTACGGTTAACGGCTGGGTATTGCGAAGTTTCCCAAATTGTTTACGAGCCGACGAACTTCCAAATTTGTCTCCATGATAGATAATTATTCCTCCAAATGTAACTCACGATATCATAGTAGTGGGCTTCATTTCAACTGAATTAGGACTGTGGGGGCATATTTGGCTTGCGCGACAAATGTTCGTCGGTCGCCAACTGCACGTAATTAAATAACTATAGGCATGCAGGTTTTACATAAGGCTTGTTCGTGCTTTCATCCCCAGACGTCATTTGACTAACTAAGCGCGTCTGGTCTACAGTTCAGGTGAACAAATATGATCCGAGCACCGAAGTGCGGTGGATCCAGTTGCCATGACTCACACCGTAAGAATAACAATAAATAACAGCAGTAGGAAGGTGGATTTGGGTCTGAATAGAATGTAAGTAAATAGAAACAAGAGGGATATGCGTTAGACTAATCGGAATGGGGAGAAAGTGAACGACCAGAAGTAAGAAACCGAATGCAGGAACGTCGCTGACTTCGTGACTTCGCCACGTTTGACACGGTCGCCAACCATTGATATGGATCGTCCCGAAGCCCCCATCCACGAAGACGGTACGCACCAGTCTGACCAAGTCTCTCAGTCAATTTCTACATGCCACTATGCCCCGTCATCGACTGATCACCTCGCGGTTCCATCCAATTTAGTGCGGCCACGGCGTATAATGCACGTCGAGGAAACCAATCAATGGTCATACGGAGAACATGGTCTAACCAACGCAAGCGACTAAGATTTAGCACTCAAATGAGGCACCAGAAGGCTTTTTACCAAAAACCAACCGGCAAACCTCAGCATTGCTCACCCGGTGTTCCCACCAAACGTGAGCAATACGCCGCAAGCACTGGTTGTCAGACACGGTCAAGCATTTAATGTCTTCACTGCGAAGTGGCTAGGTCTCTTATTCATACAGCAACACGGGCCTTATCGCAGCGTTATACACCCTAACTTTCAATAACAAGCTGATATTCTTGTATCTCCATGGATGGTTGAGCCTCTGGAAAGCCACACGGGCCTTGCTGATACGTGAAGTAACCCCTTCAGTGATGTGACCATCACGGGTGACATAGCTACCAAGGTAAGTGAATCGATCCACCACTTTCAGTGACTGTTCGGTGATAGCGACAACCGGAGGTGTTCCGGCCCAGCCCTGCAACAGCACTTTGCACTTTGAAGGTGAAAAGTACATGCCGAAGGGCGTAGCGCTACGCACAAGTCTCCGTAGTTGTGTTTGCATAGCCACTGCTTCAGGTTTGCCAATCGATCGCCTGGCAGAACACTTCGGAAAGGTCTGAAAGAACCGAGTAATTCATTATCAGTTGGATCAGAAAGTTGAAAAGGATAGGAGATATGGGACAACCCGCGGAAACCCACTTGTCTTGGGCAACTAAGAAGACGGCCTCCCGTAGATACCTAAGCGGCCTCAGGAAAGGAGCTTTTTAGACACGTCCTTCACGAATATGCTGCGTAATAAGCTGGCGCAATCAGTAGAGTCAAAGATGTAAAACAACCATAGTCGGCCGTCTGTATGTCTCTGCTCTAAAAATTGTCGAAGCATAAATATGTGGTCGATTCAACCATGACCAGGGTGGAAGCCAGCCTGGCTTTCCGTGATTCGGTTCTCAGGAGGACCAGTAAGTCGTCGGAGAATGATACCCGTGAGAAGTTTGGAGGCAGTGGAAATGAAGCTAATGCTTCGATGATTTTCGCACTAGATCAGTTGACTCTTCCTGCAGATGGGCATGACAGTTGAGAGTCGCGAGTCTGAAGGCACCTTTACAGTGTCCTAAATCGTGTTAAAAAGAGAAGGAAGTCACGTCAACAAAGAGTCCCCATTTTTCAGCAAAGATGGAAGAAGGGTATCGGGTCCAGAAGCTTTGTTTCGTTTCAACACAGAAAGCTCATATCGAATCTCTTTCGAAGTGGGAAGTGTGACACAAACTTCCCACGTCGGCACAGGTGATTAGGCAAGCGCCAGTCGCAGCAAGCCTGCTGAACAGCTCCTCAAGATTCTCCGCCTAACAGGCTAGTCAACGAAGTTGAGAATGAATCAACAGTCCATCTTACTCAGCTATTACCTCGATAACTGACGGCTTTCTCGGACCCGTATTCCAGATGAGTTGGAATAGCTCTGGGCTGTTTCCAGTATCTCTGGCTTTCTCCATCTCACAGGCCTTTGCAAGCAACCAACATTTCCGGTCAACTCGAAGACTCCTTGTCAAACGTCGTTTTAGAATACGCTGAAACTCGGTGCCCATCGGAACCCGTTTACGCATTTCAAATAAAATGATTGATGCTTTAGAGATCCATTCACAATTATGACGCCTCAAGTCGGGCGCACATTAAGTATCAAAGGCATCCTTCATGGCACATTTGAGACGAGCCTAGTCAGAATTCGGCTTACCCATTTCATCCAACACTGACAATTGTTGGCCCAGTTCGTTATGAGATTGTTAAACGGCAAACTCGGAGATCAGGTTACAGGTAATAAGGTTAGAATATAGGCGGTCCTTTGAAATTGGAAGAGTGAGTTCCAGGTGGATTACAAACTGACCGACAATCTTGGACTGATGGGCGCCACCTGTAGCTGATGGCAATATGATCAAATTTGGTCCAGGTCTGTTGTACCCCAGTACGTACACTAGGCCCCTGCGCAAGCAGGGTCTTGAATCACTACGGGCCAAAGCCACTAACGAAAGTAGAGCACAGGGCGGACACGCTCTGGACACTATTCACAAAAGTGAGTCAGGTAAGGTACAGGCGTAATGACCTTGCTATTGATCATCGATGACGCACATCCAATCAATTGCAGGCTGCGGTGCGGTGCGTGGCTTGACAGACATGACTGGAACTTGCGGTAGGCGCTACAACATGGTCATTGAGGAATTCGGTGGGCACCAATTGGCGCGGTGTGAATGTTTGTGCTGGAAAGCAGTGTTGCTAACATAAAGATTGTGGTCAACGCACAGTTGCAGGAATCAATCACAATTGTCTGTTCGGCGTGCATTGACGCCGAAATGGCTGAACAGTTGTTCAGAACCTGAAAGATTACCTACTTGGGCATTCAAGTCGCCAGCGACAATCGTGATGTCATTAATGTTCGCCACGCACAGAATAGATGAAAGATGGTAGTAGAAATCATCTTTGGTATCCTGCGAAGTGCAGTCAGCGGGAGCATAAACGGAGGCAATGAAAAGGCACCTTGTCTTCATGTAGTGCTTACTAACCCCAATAGAGGTTCGAAGACGAACCGCAAACTTGCGGCTGTCCACCAGTATCTAGTCGAGTAGATTACTCTCAGTATATCTGCTGAGGGCGATACCAACACCGTAAATATCTTGACTCATTGACTCGGTATCACCAGAGACGCGAAGGGTGTAGTCATTGTCGTCAGATTCAGAACCAGGGAGTTGAAGATTCGTCTCGATGCTGTTATCTTGTATGCGTGTTCTGGAGACACAGCACACAACAATACCAAGATAGTGAAGAGTGCGAGTCAGGGCTGCTTTCTGGCCGATCTCACATAGAATGCGGAAGCAAAAAGAACAAATGTGAAGTGAGACTGGTGGTTTGATGGACGAACTACGAGTATCGATGACAGCAGCATCAAGGTCAGTGGTAGATTTTTGCTCAGTAGACGTGGAAGAAGAGAGTTGAGAGGGGACAGAATAAGAAGAGAGAGTATTGTCGACATGCTCTGGAGGGCAGATGATACTCTCCGGTTGCCCATTTTGAGAGAGGGATTTCGTTCGAGATGCTCTACCTCTAGCCTTTGACTTAACAGTCTGACACTCATGACAGTGGGGGGTTTGGAGGTTCTCTTGCGGGACCCCACCCGGAGCCTTTGGCTCAATAGCCTGACTCACAAGGCAATAGGGAGCAAGTGCAGCTCGGGAGTGTGATTGCAGAGACCGGTTGGGATCTGCTTGAGGTCCGTCACACACTGCCTTTGAAGATTTGGAACAATTCATATGTGTTTTGCGACCGTATTACGTTACGCACTTGTGACCACGTCCAGCCTCAGGTGGGAGTTGGCGGGTTTGCACCAATTTGATCAGGAGCTGTCTAGCTTGAGATGGGCGCTAACAAACTACTGAGCACCGGAAGATGCTTTCCCACCGTCAGGGACAATGCGTGACGCTCGCGCTCTACGCCAATCGAGCTGTGAGCTTATAACCCATAGATCTGTTGTCTCCTATGGTTACGTTTTAAAGGAAGAGGGCCATCAACCTCTCCCTAAGCTCCGAAGAGGATTGCATTGTGAATGAGTTAGTTTGACTTCTAACCGTTGACCAATCTGGTATGAGTGGCACTGAAAACAATTGGAAAGTGCCATCCAGCGTAGCTCAGCGGATCACAGGGGTACGCAAAGCATCACACCACGCTAAGCTTCAGTCTTGTTGCGATGGTGTCTGGTCTAGATTACGACCGTGACCGACAAATGGGCTGGGGAGATTCCCTTTTTAGTTTATTAGTTACACAAACAGTAGCTTAGGATGTGAGCTAATCCATACTGATCCTCTTTCACCAGATATTTTGTTGGCCATTCGTGGTGACTGTGAATTATACTTCTGAGTGAATAATGGGCAAGTCAAATATAAACATTCCGATGGTGGCAATTGGATATTTTCAGAGAAATGCGGAAGGGAAGCATACTTTTGTGGAATAGTTGGTTCGCAATCACGATTTTCCTCCGAAGTGGTTCAAGTTCACTCCTCCTTGTAGCTTGCTGCCAACAGCTTAGGGTAAGCCGTTTCAGTACGCTAATAAACCTAGTGAACTTTCACTTTAGGTACACTAACATGCAGCCTCGGCTTCTCCGCCGTACTAACGCAACCATAGAGATACCACGGAATGGAACGTCAAAAGTTAGTAGTCGGCGGTTTCCCAGTCAAAAATTAAAATTGTTAACTGAAGTTCAGTGAATTGACTCGTCGCGGTTCGTTCTAGTAGCTAACAACGCACGCATAATCCAAATCACGTCAGAGCAGTGCAGATATTTTGCAGCGTAGAACGTTTTCGTGAACAGTGATACTAACTGGCATCTAAGTGAACATCGAGCCTCCCGAATGTCAATGAAAAATGATTTTAGGCGGGTTAAGAAACACTGGCTTACAAGTCCCGTTGGGTAGTCTGATGGGTCATCAAAAAACGTCAATGAAAAAAATGCAGGTAGCAGTTTTACCGTCAAAAGAATGGGCTTATCGTATGTAATGCAGTAGCCCTGCACTCCGAATGTTTCCATATCTTCAATAGGCGGAAAAATCCCAGGTATTTCACGGGAGTAGGATGGGAGTAACGTCAAGTAAAAAAAGTAAGTGGCGAGGTACGTCAACCAACCGATATTCAAATATGGCTAATGTAGGTGCAGTAACAACCGATTCGGGGAGAGCGTTTCATGGTTGACACACACGAATGCAAAGGAAATTTTTAAGGCACGCCGGACGGCTGTACTGCTCCGCCAATTTCAAGGAGTGGCCTCTAAGTTGGGTGTTACTGCCGAATTGCAGTAACAAGCGGCACACATGATTTGGATTGTGCAAAATCAAGTACGCCATAAGCAAATCGCCTAGTAGTCGGCGATACCGCCTGCTCAATACTCCCAAACGCTTCAGCTTCTGCTCGTGTGGAACATGACAGATTCCAATGAGGTAGTTAGAAGCCTGACGTTGAGGTTGGTCCAGTGCAGTAAGGTCGTGCTTCAGCCATAGCTGCCAGACTTGGAATGCCTATTCGACATGGAGGCGAAGATACGCATTTAGCATCTGTTTGAAAATAGAAGCGTGTATTAGTCCGAAAGCCAGTCGTAACAAACCCACGTGTTGGTTACCGGTTTGCGATGCCTTTGCCGGTTGCTTGGAACAAGCCAAGTCATCCTGAACAAGCACTCCAAGGTCGCGTTAGTTGGATGATCGCTGGAGTACTTGCGTTCCTAGCCTGTAGGAATAAGTACTCTGGTGTCGTATGGAGAGTACTTTGTGGTTATCCACGTTGAATTGTAGCAGCTTTCAGATTGAGCACTCAAGTACAAGTCACGCTGAAGTGCATTCTGATCGGCATCCGCTAGAGTCCGGGGCCATACCTTGATATTGTCAGTAAACACCAAGAAAGTTGAAGTGATTTCCCGTGCAAGGTCACTAATGAACACCAAAAACAATCGTGCACCTGGAACTGAGCCCTGGGGTACACCCGACTCCATTGGTATGGGTTCAGATAAGGAAATCCGGATTCTGATCATCAATTGTCGTTGTAGTAGAAAGTTGGCGATCCCACTCAGGAAAGGGTCACCAATCCCGTAATATTGGAGCTTGGAAAAGGGAACTAGATGATCTGGCTTCCAGTGGTTAGCACAGCATTTTACGATCGGCTAAAGCTAAGAAACTAAGTTGTGAAAAAATTGTGGAATTTACTTTGAACCGATGGAGAAGTCGATTAGCATGTGGTAAAAATATGCACGCAAACTGGTAAGCTTACCACACAGACTACACTGAGATTTCGGCCATACGTTCGCTCGGTCATTACAAGATCGCTGATAATGTGGTAGGCAGCGTCGCCCGGGAGTAGAATCTGCAGAGTGAAGCAATAAAACACACTAAGAGTAAAGGAAAGACCAATGTAACCGATTCGAACCTATATGTACAATTGAAATGGATACGAAAACTTTACCCGATAAGGGAACTTATTTCTACACATAGAAGTGGATTAGCAATATTTCATGTAACTGTGTACGCTAAACTAGTGGATCCCCAACATGGAAAGGCATACTTTACCGCCGAAGCCAAGTAAGTTCAGATAGGTATGCACACACCATCCGTATTGTGTATTTGATGCGGTTCTTTCTTACAATGTGGCAACCGGACAAATTCATGGTCAGGAGCAAACTATAACTTGCTGTCACCACATCAAGTTCCAGAACATTTTATCGCCAACCATTGAAGAACTACCGTACCAACATGCGCCAGGTCGATAGTTTGAAGTCATAGAAAGGAAGTCATCATGGTCCAACAGGACAAACAATCCACAATGCTCGTTTAGTCGCTCCAACTTAAACGTGCGAATATCTCAGTAGCCAAATCTAAACTTAAATGTATTAAGTCGTAGCAACAGCGCTTCTGTGCTCATATGTGCGTCCTACTCAATGCGTGGACTGCAAAGGCTTTATTCTGGAAGGTACCACAACCTAGTGCTCTTCAAAGTGCGATGTTCTCTATCGGCCACCGACTTGTTTGTCTGGAGTATTGTGCGGTGCTTAGAACCAAACTTCGAACGAGCGCAAGTGTCAAGTGCACAGGCCGGCTCAAATAACGTACTCTCCTTTGCCACTATTGAACGACGTTCCTCTTCTTATTCGATGTCTGGCGGTTCCTCGCGCGCTCCACAACTAAGGAATGAGGTGACCGGTAGAGAGTCACTGGCACTTTGTAGACAGCTTCTAACAAAAACTTCTGATTCTCGAAATTGACCCACACCAAGGAAGCAAGGCTTACCATCTTATGGAGAATAGCAGGATATAGATACAACAATCAGGTCGCCTATGTGACAACAGCGAAGGAAACAGGAACAATCCATTTTCACACAATTGGTTAGCAGAATACAGCGTGTATCTTTGCCACTTGCGCTTCCGCACTAGGTGACAAAGGCGTCACTGAGAAGTCACCCGCGTTAGAGGCGCCCGGATTAGGCGCTCCCACACCCACTGTAACCTTCAGCAGAAAGCCGCAGTAAGAAAATGGGCTTCATAGGCTGTTATGATGGACAGCAGCATGTTGTCCGAACGAACAGCAGTTCCGTTTCGGTAATTGACTTGTTATGGCCAAAATTAGCAAGCAAGGCAGTGCGCGTTAAACATTTCCGAGACTACGGCAGTGAAAACGCCGCAAGCAAGTGCTATTCGGCTAACGTTGAGCACGTTTTCGACCAGATGCTGCAACATCGTGTATAGTACACCTGAACACGTTTGTTTGTACTTTCATCAAGGTGGACTACACAGTTTGCGATGCTGGGATAGGAAGGAGATGGTATCCACCGAGCATTTATTCCTTAATTGGAGAGCATCTACGCATGTATAAGTGGAAGCGAAACGAGTATTACTGGTCCGCTCCGAGTGTTTGGTGTGTAAATGGAGTACAACAGGTAATCAACAAGGCGTGCACAACCGCCATCTTACATGACCCATTACGCATAGATAAACACAAGTGTCTCCAAGAGATTTCACCAGCGGTCCCTGATTTCGTTACACTTTTTCACCTCTTGTATGTGTACAAAGGGAGGTGACACGATTTTTACCAACATCCCATTTGTCGTCATTTCTTATGAATTTACCTGGGATTTACAGTCTATGCTAAGCACACTTCAGTGAGTTCACCGGTGTAAACCCACTATTGCTAAAAACATTTTATGTTTTGTTGTTTCTCCATAACCATCCTACGGGACTGTTAAGTAGTAGCCTTTGTACCCGTATAAAACCATTGTTCCATTGTACCGTGGCATGTGTTGTCCGCACAGCTTGTCAAGTACAGGGTGGCGCACGAAACGTTATAACATTTGTTTTGTTCATTACAAATGTAATATGCATGTAATGTGGAAAACTCGTATTCGCATACTTTAGTTTATACAAAATCCGGTTGGTGTCACGAGAAGTTTGTATGGAATCTTTTCTTGGCGCCAAAAACAATTTTCAAGATGGCGCAGATGGAGTGTTGAATAGAAGGTGAAAGTTGTAATGATTCTTTTTTACAGAAACGAGTTTTGTAGCGACACAATGACGTTTCTGTGCACACTTCGTACAGCTTGGGCTCCGGGCAGACAGACTATTTAAAGATTATATCGTCACTTTGAAACAACTGGCTCTGTGGTGGAGAAGAATCGACGGCCCACACCAATAGTCCGCACCCCGGAAAACATGGCAGTTGGGAAGACGTTGTAAAACAAAATGGTGACCACATTGAAGACATACAACATTGCACTACATTTACATGCTGAAAATTAATTCTGCACAAATTGGTAATAATCCGACGATAAATACATGTGTAGTATATCAAACAAATGGTCTGTATGTCAGCAAGTGACCTCTACGCCCAGTGCTTCTCAATCTGCGGGTAAGTCCCCCAAGGGGGTAAGATGGAAGTTTACGGGGGGTAAATATAACTACGAGGCTTGAGTCATTAACATGCTGCGAAACAAAATTAAAAACATCATCTGCATTGAGACATGTAACTAACAATCTAATCGCTATTGATTAGCCATCATTGACCAACAGTTAGTGAGTGGTCAACGAAATGGACAATTTTCAGTAATAACTTCCATTACCTAAAATATGAATACAAGCCTGCAAAGCAGCGCAGCTAGATGACACCTCTACAAGCTACAAAATATTTCGTTGTACTTTTGTGTCAGGACGTCGTTCGCCGGGTCGAATTATGGAGTCGGTGGAACACTAATATTGCAGCATAGGTCAGCCGACCTGGTAAAGTAGCGAAGGAATGTTTACGTTTGAAAGGTCAAAACGGGTGATTAGTCTTCACAATTATCGATACAGAGTGCTGGTGAAAAGCTGTCCTCCAGGACGGACTTAGAAAGTGTGGTTGAAACAGATGACATCTGTTCATGTTCAGGATCACACATCAAAGCAAAGGAGCGAATGAACTTAGAGCACGAATTACGAGGTGCAATAGCCGAAACCGCAACAAATACACCAGAAATGGTTAGAAGTAATCAATATCAGTTGTTGTGGAGTTCTCCAATTATTGGGTTTGCTTACAACAGCTACTGCTGCTTAACTGCTATCAATCCCGCACTGAAGATGCCACCTCGAACGGTGGCGAAACGTTTGCAATCAAGTTGCCCAGCTCGGAGAATTCACAACAACTGAGAAAACCTCCCGAGCTACCAATATTCCAAATCATTTCGAAGACGTAATTAATAGCAACCGCATCGTTATAGTACATCACCGCTTGCTTAGTTAAAAATCGCTAAAAATGTTTTTTCTTTGAAATGCTGAAGTAATTAAAAATAGTATTCATTTTCCGTAAGTTTAAGCAAAAAATGCAATTGTCAATCAGTTTTCTAAACTAAATATTTATGGGATACCTGCCGACATCGTGAGTAACAACCTCAAAAAGATTGAGAATCACTGCCCTAGATACAACTTGCAGAGTGAAATCAGGCACGAAAGCAGAGGTGAGGTGTAGTGGTGGGAGGTAGGTAATGACCCATTTAAAGCATAATTCTATTGATCCAAAATCGACCAGCGTATGTTTCTTAGATTCCCGCCAGTGTTTCTTATAATCAGGCTATTTCTAAACAAGAGTGATAAGTAGATGCGTTCCCTAACATTATGTTGCACATATGTTCGGTGCTATCTTCATGATAAGGTAAAAAAGCTGTTGATCACATCCCCTATATACACGCTTCAAAGGAATATTCCCTTCCCCTATATGCTGCGCCACACCATCTGTTTGGGGAACCGCAAGGGCGCCCCGAAAGCCACCGATACCAGTGCATTGTCCAATATATTTACATTGCTCACAAGCGAAGCAGCACGTCAATAAGTGGGACGGTTTTTGCATATATGACGTGGTTGCGCCAAATCTGTCCCACAAATCAATCTTGGTTTGCTCACCTGCCCTCTACATACGATGAGTCAGCGATGTCAGTCGACAGAGAAGGCCCGCCAAACAATGAGAGCAGGGGTGAAACAATTGAGCTGCCAAGCAAACAATAACATTTCACCGACATGTTAGCGCACTGTACCAACCTATTAGTCTGGCACATTTTCTAAATCACCTGCTGTACATTCCCGAGACTAAGAACGCCATTTTGGCGTCGTTGACACTCTCATTGGTCATGAGACGTTAGCCACTGGGACACCGGTTGGAAGCCCCGAGCATGCGCCAAAGACAGTCCAGTAAAAGTGCTCTAGCACCACCTATTGTGCTGCCCTGATGAGTGTCTGAAGGAAACCCCGTTGATTTCTCTCCAAACTGAAACCATCCAACGCGCAACTTGTGATGCCTGTCTAAGGAAGAGATCCTAGCTACCACATGAGCCGAGGCTTACGCCGTAACCAGTGCGGACCGACATGCAAACCAACACATACAGCGGTTTATATTTATTGCTCGCTAGCCGCGACCTGTTAGTGGCCTACTTCAGCGGCTTAACCAAGCTTACGACAATGGCGTAGACAGGCACTCTTCTAACTCGCATACCGCAGTCTCTTAGGTCTCAGGGGGTCAGCCAGGCCTGCATTTGCGGTTGCTCAGGCATGCATAGCCACTGTGATAGAAGTATCACACTTCATGACTAAATACATTAGTCCAACTGCAGGATGCCAAGTATGGTGGTGACACGACATTAGTGCGTGTTCGTTTTTCTCCACACCCATGGGCGACTTTGTTAATCAGTTATCGCTTCAGTGTCTCCATGTATGGCGTTATTTAAAGGTCATAGGAAGGATGCCAAAACTATGTATCCATAGGATAATTAGATTTTATTTCCATATGGTTGCCCATACGTGTGGAGACAAGTGGCTCTCCAAAGGCACCATTACAAACATTGTGACTGCAGAT